TAAGTCCAGAGGAGAGCAACCAAAATAATAAAAGGTTTAGAAAACCTGATCTTAGGAAAGCTTAAGAAAAAAACCTGGGTATAGTTAGTCTTGAGAAAAGAAGAGTCAGGGGAGAAGGCCCTGATAACAGTATTCAAAATATATTAAGGGCTGTTATAATGAGGATGTTGATCAATTGTTCTCCAAGTCCAATGTAGGAGAAGTAATTGGGTTAATCTGCAGCAAGGGAGATTTATGTTAGATATTAGGAAAAACTTTCTAACTAACTATAAAGATAGCTAGAATAGGATTCCAAGGGAGATTATGGAATCCCCATCACTGGAGGTTTTAAACAACAGATAGGAAAACAACCTGTCAGGGATGGCCCAGGTTTGGTTGATCCTCCCTCAGTGCAGAGGGCTGGACCTGTGACTTCCTAAGGTCCATAGGTCCATTCCAGCCCTAAATTTCTGATTATATATAAAGAAAGTGGATAACTTAGGGCTTGTCCATATGAATAGTTACACGCCAGTATGGCAAGCTGTGGTGTAAATCTACCATGCACTAACTGTCCGTGTGAACCCTGCTGCTACACACTAAGAAGTTCTGTAGTATGACTTGATCAATCCTGCTTTGAAACAGGATTATAGAATTTTTGGTGTGTGGCAGACTAGTGCAAGGTAGGGGTTTACACCCCAGCTTTCTTAGCATTAACTGTTCATAAAGACAAGTCCTTAGTCAAAAAATGGCATTCATATTCCCATGTCAGGGAGTGATAAAACAAACTGGGCCAAATTTTTTTCTGGAATTAACATACTATGCTTATACCAGAGATGAATTTTGTTTCATAGATTTATGTATTTTGTGCAACACAGCAGCAACATTAAAAATTAAACAGAAGAGTTACTAAGAAGAATATAAAAAATGAGAGCAAAGGGTTGTGAGGATGAGGAATTGCAGTATGATGCAGTAAGAGGGAGCGCGAGTCATGGTTAGAGTTGGGAGAGAGGAAGAGGAATTTTGCAATGGTATCAAGATATTAACTCTATGTTGTACTGTGTGTGGAAATATTAGCACTGTGACTGCACAAGTCTGGGTTTGCTCCAGGGCAAATCTGTTATGCTGCATTCCAGCTACCTGCCTTCCCCAGAAAAGGTGTTTGACACATCGTTGAAGGACTATCACTGAGAAGCCATCAAGACTGCAATCTGGGGCCATCAACTTTGATTGATTTATTGTTGATTTATTATTTGCATTTCAGTAGTGCCTACGACTACTAGATGTGGACCAAGACCCTACTGTGTTAGGTGCTATACCAACACCACACAAAACAGTGGTTCCTGCCCAGAGAGCTTATAGTCTAGATTGTCTCTCAACTAATGGCCCACCCTCATGGAACAATGTTTTTTCTACAGAAAGGCCTGCTGAAGGAGCAGGAGTGCAAGCAGGACTCGGATCAACAGCATCTCAGCTTGAGCACAGGACACAGTGACAGAGACCCCATTTAAGAGTGGGGTTCTGCTCTGTGCAGGGGACTAGTCATCACCATATGTAAAAAGGACTGTCAGGAGACAGGGGGCAGGAGAAACTCTGCTCAGACTGAAATGTTGATGAACCACAAACTCACAAGAAGGGGTTAGCTCAGTCTAGGGGAGGGAGTGTCTCAGCACTTGTTTTATTTCTGAAGATCTGTAACTCTCAAATGATCTAAGAATAAAGTAACTGTGCTTAAGAAATTCCTTTGCTAAGCCTATGTTCCTTGTTTTCCTGCTCTGTTGTTTCTGGAGGGGTTAAACTAGAAGCCCTGAGTGCCCACAGCCTAGGTGGGACTGAGGCAGCTTGTGTAAGTGAATGGGGTGCTCAGGAGGTCTCAGATACTTGTTCTGGAGTCTAAGGTAGCTGGACAGTGGTGTCCACATCCCAAACAAAGGCATCTGAAAAGAGTTCTAGGCCTGGGAGGATGCCCTAGTGTCCCAGAACTGGAAGCAATGACTAGACTCTACTTAGACCCAATTGACTCGGAAGCACTTGAGCTCTTGAGTCCACTCACAACAGACTGCCGTTCATACAGTGACTTGGCCAGATGGTGATATATATAATTTCCTTTAAAACATTTAAATGAAAAATATAAAAAATGAGGAGGTAGCAAGTCTGAGGAGGAGAGAAGTGCAATGAGGACTAACTGCCCATCGGAAGAGATTCTTCAAGAGATAAAATAAGGCTTCAACCTCACATAACTGTAAATCTGAAAAGAATTACTTGTGGCAATGAGAACAACTTCATCACATCAAATATCTGCGCTTTTTAAAAACACTTGATGTCCAGAGCTTGCTGCATTTTTCTTAAAGCAATAGTCCAAATAATGTATGAATTAATAGATCATGGATGTGCATGATCAGTATATTATTTTAAATGTCTATGACTTATTTCAATGTCAAGATTTCCCCGCAAAACATTGCCAAAACAATAATCTTCACTGAAGGATATGTATGTGCTAAGTTTGAAATTTAAAAACAAACCTGTTTTTGAGTTCTCTATTTAAAAAAAGCATCTGATACATGTCTTCACTGGCCAAAATAATTTTTGCTCATTTGACAAATGCCTCAATATACTTCCAATAAACTTTCCAAAAAATACTCACTTCTAAGTTGAGATTAAGCAGAGAAATTGAAGTCCAAAATATAATTAATGAGAAAATTAGACATATCTGAAAATAGGAATTTTAGAATGGAAGTGCCAGCTCAGCTTTAATTTCTACTGCAGAGAATAACAGGCAGATTTGTATCTCTATTCTGGGTAGGATTTTTTGAAGTGCTCAACAATGGCTTAATGCTCGTCCCATTGGAGTCAATGAGTGGAGTTAGACGAGTACTTTTAAAAATCCCACTCCAAGTGTGTGAACATGTACATTCATAAAGGATAAATCAGATAGATTTATATATGCTTAATAGTAAGTTTAAGTTTGCATATATTGGGCAAGATAGCAAGGTTTTAACCCTGTCAGCATTACATGCCTTATTCCATTCTATTATGATACAGGCTTTCACAAAACACCAAGCAAAATGGATCCTCTGTTCTGTTTCTTGCTTACATAGGTCTCATGATGTCATTATAGCCCTTTAACGTGAGATCATGTTTATCTGCATAACACTCTCCATGTATTTCATAGACATGACATTATAGAGTCGTGATATATCTGTAGCTAAATATACTGAAAATTAACTTCAATATAGTGGTAGCTAGAAAGTCTGTGATCACTATACAACATATGTCTGTTTGCACATATCTGTCCCATGGTGTGTGTTTGCTACAAGAATGTATAGTATAAATGTCAGAGTACATTCTTTCTCCTGGCTATATGCATAATCTACTCCAGCTGTCTGAGTAAGCAGAATTTGATGGTCTTGGATAAAGAGAGTTTTGTGTAAACATTAACTCTAAGAAGGGACCATGAGATGCCGGAAGCTCCAACATAATGGCTTAATTTCAACCCCAAGCCTTATCCCTTCATTCACTTTCATTCTCACAACTCACTGAGTAAAGAAAATTCAAAACACAAGTTCACATTCCCTGATGAAAGAAATATTGAATTGTCCAGTAAGAAATTGTCTGGAGCTGGGAGAAAGAAATATAAGTATGGAAGTTCATGGACCACTATGGAGTCTTAATAACACATAATCTCAGACATGAACATCAGGCATTAAGTCAATATTTTAAAAATAGATGTCTAAAGTTAGGCTCCCAAATATTTTGGCTCTTAAGCAGGAGACCTGATTTTCAAAACTGCTGAGCATGCAGCAGCCCATTTTAGATGCTTAATTATGAATTTAGGAACCTAACTGTAGGCATCAATTTTTAACAATCTTGGCCTTTGTGCCTAAAGGTCAACCCGTCAGAGCCCAGCATCAATATTGCCTGGCAGACCCACACAGTCACATGTTGCAATGAGATCATCAGTAAGGTTGTGAATCATTCACGGAGGTCATGGCTTCTGTGACTTTTTGTGACCTCCATGAATTTTGCAGCGCTGGTGTGGCTGACCTCAAGGCCACCCCAGAAGCTGGGGAAGCTGCGGGGCCAGCCGCTGCTATGGCAGCCCCAGGCAGCTGGTCCCCAGCACTGCCCTGGAGCAGTGGTCTGGGACCAGTGCTGGTGGTGTGGGTCTCAGGCCGCTCCTGCCCACAACCGCAGCAAGGGGTGGGGGAGCCTGGGCTGCTCACCGCTAAGAGCGGCAGTGGGGCCATGGGCTGCCCCCTCAGCAGCGGCAGGGGGCCATGGGCTGGCCCCCACAGCAGAAGCATCGCCCCCATGCGCCCCCCCTTCCCTCCAGCAGCAGTCTTCAGGAGCACCCCCCCCCCTCCCAGCAGGTAAGACTTAGTCACAGGTATTTTTAGTAAAAGTCATGGACAGGTCACAGGTTGTGACTTTTTGTTTATTGCCCATGGCCTGTCCATGACTTTTACTAAAAATACCGTACCTAAAAGTTAGCCTTAGTCATCAGACATACCTTCATTAACCACTGTACATATATATGAGGTAACATGCTGGTTCCAAAGAACAAATTTGTTCTGTACTTTACAATGTAAGTATGCTACCAACTACAAAATATTTAAGATTCATGTGATTAGGTTATATTATTAAGAAGGTGGTTAAAATCTATTAATTGGTAAAAGTGAAGGGTAGTGACGTTTCACAGCGTTCCATCCTACAGAATTAAAGTTAGGTAACATACAGGTGAACAGATTCAGAATGGTTCCTATTGAGCAATTATATTGCCTAACAGCTAGTGAATGCAACATGCCCTCAGTTGGCACAATTACTGTAAAACAGGTACAGTATCTAATAAAGGTTAAATGGCTATTGTTTTAAAAAGTCATCCTCCCACAATCAACTGAAGAATGAGCCTTTTCTAGCTGCATTCACCTCTCATGGATTCATTTCACAGCGTCTCTGTCACATCAACAAGATCTGTAAAAACACTTCAAAGGTTCTACCACTGATAGACCAGTAGACAGGCTCACCTGTTCCTGGGTCATCTTCTGCAGCTCTTTCTCCCAAGCTGCTCGGTCATCATCCAGGTGGTAGGAAGCAGGTGGGGTGAGTCCACGCAAAATCAGGGGGTCACGGTCATGGCAGAGGGCTGTCAGGTGTCCAATGTACAACTTCAATTTGCTGCGATTCTGGTCAAGTTCTAAAAGGGGCTGAATTATCTGAGATAAGAAAACAGGAATAGTCAGGGTCGGTCTGAGACCCAAGCCACTGAGAAGTCAAAAACCAATCCCTAAGTTATGAATCTTAACGTCCCATAATATGTAAAAGCTGAAAGAATACTGAATGAAATCCCCCAAACCCTTCTGTCCTATAAAATGTATTACACTGGACTAAAGCAGGAAGAAACACAGCAATTGGGAGGGCATGGTGATGCTGGCTGGCTTGTTAGTATGAAAAGTAGAGAGAATGTAAGCTGAGAACTGAAACAGTATTAACTGTATAGATTTAGTGTGTTTATTGCACAACAACACTCCAATTATCATAACTCCCTGCTTTAATTTTTTAAAGTGAATTTTGTGTTGCTAAAAGGTGCCAGATTGATAGACCTGGAGAATAAAGTTTGGTATTAGCCAAAGAACAGGTTGTCTGTCCACAGCAAAGGCAACAGCAGAACAAATTCTCCTCCCATGTTGCTTTACACACATGCATCAATCCTTTTCTGAAGGGATCTCTTCTAACGATGCCAATTAGCATGAATTAAAAAGTTAAGTTTCTGAAATACAGACACCTGTACATTAGAAACTTGACTTACGCACCATGTCAAATACATAGCCCACCAAACAGTCTTGAGATGACATTCAGTCATTACCTGAGCAAAACTTAATGTGATGGCCTAAAAATGAAGAGCTCTAACAAGTTCTATTTTATTTTATCTAATCTAAATCTAATCTATGCTCTTACTTCCAGTCCTTTGAATCATCCAGTCTCTTCTCTGAAGAGTCACTATTTACCAGGAAGTGGAGACCAGATGAATAAATGCAGAGTCTTTCACTGTGCTCAGACTAGAATACTGGTTTCAACTGTTCTAGGTTTTTTCAAAGGTATGTTTAAAATTTAAACAAGCAGAATTCTGGCTCTATGGAATGTGGCCAATCAAAAATTGAGGAAGTGGAAGGGCCAGGCTGTGCACCTCCTCTCAAAGAAATGAGGTACTGAATCTGTATCTGCTGACATGTACCAGCTGTGAGAGTTGCAAAGCCTTGCCAGAATGCTGCCAACTGTCAAAATGTTCCCATTTAGACAAGGCAGAGGCTGCACCTGTTGCTTGTCAGCAGGCTCATGGTGTCTCTTCAATGGGACACCTCTGACCCTGCTAATGAATGAGAAGCCTGATAATCTCTGAGTCAACAGAAACAGGGTGCTGGTATTACTTTCAACAAAGACATTGAATCCTACCCCCTCTAACAAGGCTGTTCTGGCTCACTTCTTTTGTTTCCAACACTGAATGGATTAAGTTCTGTGGAGTGAGAGGAGCTGAGAGCAACAGCTAAGTAGTTAATGGGTGTCAAAATCCTTCTTCTGATGTGGACACAGCAGCACTCAGGAACCTACAGCAGAAGGTTAGGATCAACAGCATCATAACACTTCATAGGAAATAATCTGGGAGAAACCCTGGCCTAGATGACAAGCAGAGAAGTAGAAAGATGCAGGTGAGGGAGGCTGGACAAGACGACTAGAGACTAGGAAATCTTTTTTAGGATGACTTGACCGGCCAGAAAGCAGGAAAGCTAAAATGATGAATATTTACCTCATATTTATGCATTTGCTTCTTGCACTCAGATGACACGACATTAACCAAACTATAGAATGGGGCACATAAGGTTCTGGTGAACCCCTATCTGCCAGTTTGGGGGTACCATTCACTAAAGGTGTACATATGTATGTATAATTGATAGGTGTGGTATGTCAACACGGCAAGTGACAACAGGACAGGATTGATCCACCCTTGTACAGAGAAGTGGGAAGGTATATTCCAGTAGCAACACAATTCTTCAGGTTTCACTTCCATGTCCAAATACAACTGAATTTCAGTTCATTATACATCCATCAAATTTGTCTATTTAGTGAACACCTGACATAGTAGCATTCCATTCCCCCCAAATTCTTCTAGTTTAGACCTTCCATACTATTACCTACTAAAAACCCACTTCTGAGATTAATTGAATTTCCTAAAATGGCAGACTTGAGGCCTCTGATTTTCTTGATGTCTTCCCTATCTTTGTTGCTCTTCTGTTCATCTACAAGTTGAGGTATAATGGAGACATCATTTTCTGTAAAATAATGACTTACAGAAATATGGACATTAACAAGCTAATGTCTAATGATTAAGTGACTAATCAATAAACTTCCTAACTACCTTGTATTTTCTTTCAGATAACAGATTCTATTAGGCATGCATGGGATGTGTGGATTTCAAGCTGACAAGTCAGTGTCACGGAACTAACTGATTGATCATTATAATGGGTTTTAGTATGGAAACTGAACTTGATTTCTCAGGGACAAGATCCCTTGCGAAGTAGAGTACATTTCTGACTGTCCCCCTCATCTGCTTACCTTGGGAAGAGGTGTCCCTCCATTTGTGGAGATTAGCCATATGAGGCATGTGAAAGTTATTAACTAACAGTGCTCCCAGAGCTGTTCACAGAGCCATCATTTCTCTCCCTTGGGTCTCATTAAATCCTGCCAGTCAAGTAGGAAATGCCTTTATCTTTGCGTTCCTCCCATATCTAATTTGAGCCGGCCACTTAGCAAAAGGCACTGTGCTTCCCACACAGCAGAGCTGCCACTACCTTATCTCAAGAGGGTGCAAGAGCACTTGCTAAGTGGAAAGGCAGAGCAGCACTGGATTCATAAACCAGGTCACATTTCTGCATTCAGCTGTAGAGCTTTCTAGGGAAACACTGGATGAACTGGCTTCCCTAGAGGCATGGAAATATTTTCCAAAACAACCAATCTTCAATAACTGTAATGTCTATCCATGAGGAAGTTTGTGTGGAAGGTTGTTTTTTTATGAGAGTATCCAGTTTTGAGAGCTCATTCTTAATCTTTCCCTGCTTTCTGTATAGGATGTTGATTCTATACATTACAATCAACATATCACACAGACTATGCTCAGATTGTGTGCCACACACTCTCAAAGAAACTGTGAAACCACCTGATCAACATCCTATGCAGCAAACAGGGAAAGATTAAGAATGCGCTCTCAAAACTGGATACTCTCCTAAAAAAACAACCTTCCACACAAACTTCTTCATGGAAAGATTTTACAATAACTGTAATGATACACTTAGACCATTTCCATCAGAGCACAGAATAGAGTCTGTTTAACAATTCTTACACACACACACACACACTCATTCTTTATCCTCAAGCTCAAAACAGTATTGCACAGTTAAGGTTGAAAATTTACTCCACATACCACAAAAATTCACTACAATGTTAAAGTGGAGACATTAAATGCCTGAAAATCTGAAATAAGAGCAAACCATTTTAAAGTTATCAACTGACAAAGAAATGTGGGAATGCCTTTCAAAGCAAATTCAACTCAAAAATGACTTGTCCAGAAAGTTTCCAGAAAGCTTTAACTTTGGACAGAGTGAGCAAGACAAATTTAAATCTAAATGTAGTTTTGCAAAAGATATAAAGGAGTGAAAATAGGGCTTAGAATGCAATAGCTGCTGCTACCTTTACTGTGGAGTTGCTATTGCTATATCACAGTTAACCTATATGATAGTGACATTAGTTAATAGCTTTATTTTGGTAAAAGCATGTCTTAGACTTGATAGTCATGAAGCATGGATAAGACAAGACATGATATTTGTACTGAATGTGGTTGGACAGACCTATCCAAATGTCTGCTTATTTCTTTTACTGGGAGAAACCAATATACCTCAAATATGGAGACTGTGGTGTCCAAATGTTTACCTGAGAGACGTCAAACATAAATATGCAAAATATGTAGGAGGATGTGTGAAAGGGCCAAGTGTGATGGTAACTGTCTATAAATGGGTAGAAAATGAGAAATATTTTAAGGTAGGTGTAACTGCACTCACACTTGTCAGAACCAGACATGCTGATCAGATGCTGTAATGCTTTTTTGTGCAACTGTGTGTATATGACTGTGTGTGTATGGAAGGAGGAAACAGAAAAAATTAATGGAATCACACTGGCATTGCAAAGTCAGCACACTCTGCTATATCCATGTTTGGCATCGGCAGGACTGCTTTGGGTAACCCTTCAGCAGTATGGCAGTCCTGCTATCAAGAGTGTGTGCATACTTAATGTGGATAACGTTGTAATACCCGTAAAGGAACAAAGCAGATAATGAGCCTTCAGTTTCACAATCAAATAATTCACTGAACTGATAGCATACTGGGATGAAGGAGGGTCTATAGCTTCTTTTCTATGCACTTGGCTGAGTCCCCCTCCCCATGTCCTGTTTTACTCAAACACAAAATCATTATAATAAGGAACACAAAGTACGAAAAGGACAGAAATAAATGAAACCAAGGTAAGGTAGTGAAATTGGGAGATATTCTTGAGGTCAAAATAAAATTAAGTGAGATCAGAAATATAATTGATCTTTTAGCCTAGTGGAGCAGAAACAGGAAAACGAATGGAGGGAACAGGAGCTTTCCAAGGAGTGAAACCATTCATGACACACACTATATACAGTTTGCTATCCTGGACTACAGAGTTTTGGACTGATCCCCACCTGATGGTTTCTTTTAGTAGCCTGTAAGGATGTAATCCATAAAAGGAGTTCCAAAGTAATGAAGAGATCTGACACAGTGCATGTCTGAAATGCAACCAAGCTGAGGCTGGCCTTCTGAGGACAGCCTTCCCCCACCTATCAGCTATTTCTGAGAGAGGTATGCAGGGATAGGAAATTATTTTCAGCCACCCTGATGTTCAAACCTTGCTTCAAATGGATGCAAATATGCTGCACAGCAAATGTACTCCTGAAACCTATCACTGAACACTAGCAGACAGGGATGAGGCTATGAGTGTCTATAAATCTGAGGCATCTGACAATCATAGCTGCTTGTTAACGAGCGTGTAAGAAGGAAAAAGACCTAAAAAAAAAGAGTGCAGTGGGAAGGTGGGGATGGGTGGAGAGTTTAGCTGGTGGCTGCAATCCCAGAGAAAACAAATGCAT